TACTGCTGCTGTGTCGGGTAATTCCAGTCCCCCTGTGGTCCAATGTCAGTGATATAAAAGCAAACATAAGGCTGCCACACACCAGGGGGTAGTTGTGTGTGTGTGTAGTTATTTATCTGGATCCTCGACGTGCAGGGATTGATTTTGGGGCAGACGCGTCGCGTCGCGTGGTGACGTGGCAAATGGACCGTATCGAGCGAAAGGGAGAGAGCCGACCCGGGGATCAATAGGATCAACCCCGTTGATGATATCATGATATTTATTATTTTGCACGCGAACCGTGCAGTCCGGATTAAGAATTGAGCACCCCTAATGGGTTTGGCTGACGGTTGGTGCGTTTCATGTTCCCAGAACCCTTCTCTGTAAACAGAGTAGGGGATAAGTGGAAAAATCCTTGGCTCGGATTGTACTACCTAACGGGGTGGAGCTGAACTGGCAATCCGGCCCAGTCGGACTCCGCTATCTAAGACACGGACCTCCGTGATCTGACACACGGACATGAGAACCATGCACCCGCCGTGCCGCGCTGCACAACGGCCTGGCCGCGAACGATGCGGTCGCTGGGACGGATGCGAGAGCACGAGAAGTTGGTCAAAAAAATACTTACAATGAGGTGGTTCTGCAAATATGGCTAAATAATTAAAACCATGATAGAGAATTTAGAAATAAGAGGACGGGGCCATCATTATACAAATATCAGTAGATGACTTATTTCTGATGTCACACACACAAGTTCACGTGATAGGGAATGCGTTTGGCGGACGGTGGTGCGTTTCACAATCACAGAACCCTCCTCTGTAAACAGAGTAGGGGAACGGGAACCGTGCGGCACGCTTTGACTGTCATTGTTCTTCTTCATACCCATGTCGTCGTCACTTCGCCTCTCCTTGCTTTTTCGACTTTTGACAAACAGTCTCCGACTCGGAGGGCGCTGGCTTCAAGTAGTGCGCAATGTCAAGTGTGCGTGCCACCTGCCGTCCTTGCAAGTCGATGCTTACGAACTCTTTCTAGCGACAACCTGGTGTGATGCGACAACGGCGAACCCACCGATGGCGGCGGCAGGCACACCGATGGCGGGCGGCAAGTGCACTGATGGCGTGCCACTACGAGTGTACCAACGTTGGGCGCGTTAATATCTGGCACTCACACTTTTTTGATGGCTGGGGATGGCGGCGACCGGCTCAGGAAATCTACTCATTGTTACTACTCAGTGGTGCACACAAGCGGAGGAAAACTTCGGTAAATCTAATCAAGTATCTAGTGATCCAAGGCAACTATACAAATGTATTCTATTTGCTGTGTATTTGACAGTAAATCCTCGAAGTTCAATAAAACCTCAGGTGGCATTCATACAACTTACAAGACGGCCCTATTTGTATTATCGCTGGCGCGCGACGCGACAGTCGCCGTGCAAGCGTGAACAATGGATGTTTTCACTTGCCTTTTTTGGTTTCGGCAGCTCCGGCCATCATCAAGAGGAGGGGGAGACCATGGGACGTTGGGCCGGCTTGACAGAGTGCTCATGAAAAGAAGACGAATAATAATCAAACGCCTTCATTGGCAAGACTTTAATTTCTGAAAGTATTGAACGGATATACCGATCTGATGACGCGATGGACGGGGGGCGCCTCTCATGCTCATTGCACCTTATGTAATCTGATTCTATTGCGCTCGCTATTAGACCTCTTTCGACTCGGAGACGCTTGCGTCATGATATTTGCCGAGACGCCGTTGCGTCTGGCGGGATTCGCCCCACGGCTTTAAACTCCCATGAGCTCCTAATGCGATACGATAACATTCTTCCAGCGCAGTAACCGCGAGTGCTCGGGATGTGATATGGTACCTCTTCTCCATGCAAGTGTGAGGTGCGGATCCGATCGAGCAGATGTTCAACGTCAAGCAACCGTTTCCAGATTCTTATTGTTCTCGCTACTCCAAATATTCCGGCGGCGGCTCGTCGGAAAGCCCCAGTGCCCACTGCGACTGTAGCTGCTCCTCGAGCGTGCGGATGCGTGCCTGCAACGCTCCGTTCTGCGTGCGCAGGGCCCCATCCGTCTCTGCTGGCGTCGCACTTGGGGGATCCGTGAGAGGCACCGGCGTCACGGTGGCACCGGCGGCCGTCGCCGTCTTGTGCAATGCAGCCAGCTGCGTCTGCACCGCGGCGAGCTGGTTTGTGAGGTACTCTCGACGCTCCTTTGAGCTCAGCTCCGCCGTGCGCGGGAAAATCGTAGAGGTATAGACGGTCACGGCGGACTCGGCTGCGAGACGGGCTGCGCGGCGACGGTAATAGCGCGCGCATGCTGTTGTCACCCCGGCCACGACGACCAGCCCCGCGAGCACGCCGCCGATGATTGCGGGGCGCTTGGACGTCCCGCGAGTGGGGGTCGCTCTCCCCGATGTTCCCGATGGTTGCGGAACAGGGGATGCAGCGGACGAGAGACACGAGAGGTCCGTACCGTTGTCTACGTAGAAGGCGGTGCTCAGCTCTGCATGCGAGTCGCTCGCCCCGTGGAACGTCGCCTGCAGAATATACCAGCCGGCAGACACATTGACCGCAGCCCAGGTGAAATTGCGCATGGCGGGGTCGATCAAGAACGTTGTGATTGGCTGGTCGACCATGCCCAGCGCGCGCCGCAAACGCGACGCAGATGCAGAGCCGCGGCGCACGCCTCTGGCGGCGTGCGCGGAGAGCGTGCGGCGCCCGGCAGTTGCCGATGGAGCCTCACGCTGGACTACGTTGTTATTCGTTATCGAAATCGACATCTCGGTTGTGCCAATCGGCGAATACAGCCAGCTGACTGTTGCAGGCTGGCATGCAACCATGTTGGAGACGACATTCCATGCGAACATGTGGGCCGACGTAGGACTGGCGGGGGCAGAAGAAGCTGCGGAACCGTTAAGTAGGTGCGAACAGAAAAAGTAAATGCTTGACGTACTTGTGCTGACAGATTTTGTGCCAAGAACAAAGCTGAAATGGAAGAGAGTCCAAAGGAAGGGAGCGACGAGGAGAGTCTGCATTGTCCCACTGGAGGGGAGTCTCGTTGCAGAAGTCTCCTTCTGGTCGTCGTGGAGGACTTGAAGACACTGAATATGTTAGAAGACCATCGTAACCGTGCTGCTTCTGCCTGTTAAGAAGTACCGTTTTGATGCATCCAACCCCCGGGTCTAAACGACCGTACTTGTTCTGCGTAACGCGGCAATTATCAATTGTTTCGCGAAGGTCGATGTGATTGATGGAAGAAACCATGGATGCATTGCAGTATCGCCTCAACCCAGAAATGCTCCGCGAGAATCGCTAATCACTTTCAGAAGATGCGAGCGAACACCATATTTGCGGGGTCCATGCTTCTCATCTCAATGGCAGGCGGCTTGCACAATTCTCCATCGGCAGTGATCCGTATGCCAGTGGGGGGTTAAGGATGTGCCGGCGTGATATTCATTTAACGCAAGCCTCGCAATCACGGAATGTGCGGGAGAAGCCGGCCCCGACGTGAGCTTTCGGGAACCTCTTGCAACGGACTGCTTTCATTCCCAGGCTCTGTTCTCCCACTCTTTCGTCTGAAGTCCGTCTTGATTAGATGGCATCCGGCAAGCCGGGCCGTGAACGTGAACCCCGGCGCGTCAGATCATGATTGGAGTTTGAAAGGCTTCAGACGGGCTTACTTTGTGGATCCTATTCAAAACATGGTTATCATTTCGTGTCGATGTGTTCAAAAAGTCGTCGGCAACCGCGGCGTCGTCCTACGTCATCATTATTAGCACTTGATCTCCTCGGGCTTCAAGGATTCTGTGACCATCGTCAGTTTCCGTGTCGCTCTCCGTGAATACCCGACGACACCTTGACAATGATGCCGCCATTATCAAACCACCTAACGACCGGACACTCATTTTATTCCCGGACTGTGTATATAATACGACTATCCAGGAGCTAAATCCAGACATTACGCCAGTTCTTGCTGCGTGAACGTGTTGGTGGACTGCTGATTGCCTCCGTTACACTTCCATGCTACAGTCTCAGTGAAGGCCTGAATCCATTGCACGAACTCGTGCAACTCGTGTTTTCCGTGCGTGAAACCGCGCATTTCCTGATGTATGCCTTCCTTGTGGAGCACGGCGCATCGAAGAGGTAGATGATGTTTGACCTCGGGATCCATGGCAAAGATCACCAAAACTTTGCGTCGAGTGTCGCAGGTCTCTTCAAAGTTCGCCCGCATGCAATCTTTAGGTCTAGGAAAGGACATCACCGGCGCCGGCACGCGGCACGCCTTCCGTGCTTCGCTGCGCTGCAATTTATTGGGAAATTCGAAGCGCTCTGATAGCGCGATTCTGACAGCGCAGCGGATGTCGATTCTTTTCGTGCCCCGCCTTTCAGAATCCTTCGATCGCTGCCCGAAGCATTATTAAATTGATCTTTGTGCTATGTCTCTTTTTATTTTCAGTGACTCTACAATCACAGGCAAGGTCATTTGCTATAGTACCAGTACGTGACGCTCTCGGGGTCCCGATTTGGATGATCGTGAGCTGGAGTCATTCGAGTCACTGCATCAGCAATATGCCAATATCACAATTTGCTTGCGCTCTTCGGCTCTTGTGACGCCGCTGATGCAAGATGACAAGACCGGCAAGACCGGCAAGACGTAAAGTCAGTAAAAAAAGAGCAAAAAAGTTGTTCCAATTTTTTTTAAAAGGTATCCTGGTCTACATACTGGCAATACAAAACATCCAATGAGCTAGAAAAATGAAATCTTGGCAGCAGCTGCCCTTCAATTTGGGAGCTATCACGGGCATCAAGCCGCTCTTGTGACTTTTCGGACATAGCTTGTGGCTCTCGCGTACTTTGGCACTTTGATGTCTTGTACGCGCGCGTACAAGCGCGTACAAGCAAATTGCGTAAATCCTGATGTGGGCGACCGGGCGCCTGCCCGGCCCTGCCGCGTCGTGCTAGAGGTATGCTGTGTGTAGCCCACAAGCATGCTCCACTAGTAGATAGCCAGTGTGTTGCTTTGGTGGGGTAGTGGTAACCTTGGTCATCGTTGTAAAATGAAGGGGCTCCAAGATTACTGCGTGACCCGCCGGGGGTTCGATTCCCTCCCAAGGCAGTAAAGTGACATTTTCAATCGCATTTTTGTACAGAATAAGACTGAAACACATACGCAACTGGAGTGTTGAGTTGTTGATCCGACCTCCGTCCAGGGCCTACCAAACCGCAGTAAGTAGTGAGTACCGCAGCGGAGGACCCGAATAAAACATTTCAAACCGCACCCGGCCAGATTGTCGGCGACATTGGCAGCCGCGCGTGCTCCGCACGCTCTCCGCGCACGCCGCCAGAGGAGTGTGCCGCGTCTCTGCGTCACGTTTGTGGCGCGCGCTGGTCGACCAACTAATCACATCGTTCTTGATCGACCCCGCCATGCGCAATTTTACCTGGGCTGCAGTTAATGTGTCTGCCGCCGGCCGGCTGGTATATTCTGCAGGCGACGTTCCACGGGGCGAGCGGTTCGCATGCAGAGCTAAGCACCGCCTTCTACGTAGAGAACGGTCCGAACGTCTCGTGTCTCTCGTCCGCTGCATCCCCTGTTCCACAACTATCGGGAAGAACCACCCCCGCTCGCGGGGCGTCCAAGCGCCCCGCAATCATAGGCGGCGTACTCGGTGGGCTGGTCCGAATCTTGACCGGGTTGGCAACAGCATGCGTGCGCTATTACCGTCGACGCGCCCGTCTCGCATTCGAGTCCCGGACCGTGACCGTCTATACCTCTACGATTTTCCCGCGCACGGCGGAGCTGAACTCAAAGGAGCGTCGAGAATACCTCACAAACCGGCTCGCCGCGGTACAGACGCACTGGCTGGCTGCATTGCACACCGAGACGGCGACGGCCGCCGGTACCACGCCGGCGCCGTTTACCGATTCCCCAAGTGTGACGCCAGCAGAGACGGACGGCGCACTGCGCACGCAGGACGGAGCGTTGCAGGCACGTATTCGCACGCTCGAGGCGCAGCTGCAGTCGCACTGCCAGTGGGCACTGGGGCATTCCGACGAGCCGCCGCCGGGATACTTATTTAGAGTAGCGACAACAATAATAATCTGGAAATGGTTGCTTGACGTTGAACATCCACCGGCACTCGGTCGGACCCGCACCTCACATGGAGAAGAGGTACCATATCACATCCCGGACAGAGCCCAGAAGCCGGAACAGTATACTAATCAGTAAAACTACAACTTCGTCTTTCCCGTCTTTTTCGTCTTGGGGCAAGACGAAATCACTTCAAAAGACGGGAAAGACGGAAAGACGGCCGTCTTGGGCCAAGAAGGTTCCCTCGTCTTTTGCATCTTTGACAAGATGGGAAAGACGGAAAATGTCTTTGGGAAGACAAATTCCATCCTGCGCAAGACATCTATGCTTTGCTTCAAGATTCAAAAGAGGTGCCAGGACAGTCAAAAAAAGATCAGAAAAGCCATATATTCATACTACTAGATACATTTGTACAGCACTACAGGCCAGGGATAGCTACATACGCATGCCATCGGCAGGCATTGCCACATTGGCGGGACTTGCTCCAGGTGCACTCCAGCCCGCTCGGCACTCCAGCTGCGCGTCGTATGTTGCCCGCGGCGCGTAGGCCGGGGACGGGGAAGGGTGCGCAGCTGCGCGCACGGGGGGACATGCATGCACAACGGCATCCGTCCTTGTGCGCGCCAGCCGCGCATCGTGTGTGGCGACATCCGTGGCACTTAGGAGGACGCGCGCAGCCGGGAACGGTGAACGGCGTGGCGAGCAGGTGCGTGCGCACGGTGAAACGGTAGCTAAGTGTTCAGGGGTGGTCTGAATATACTAGAGCCTAGATATCAGATAGGATGTAAACCCTATCAACACCAAGTCTAATATAATACCCTTAATAACTGTGTAGCGTGCCGCTGCGTTACAAGTTCGGGGGTTCGAGGCACAGGAAATGCCCTAATCGAATCCAGATATTGGTTTCTAGTGTTTGGAGTCCTACTCCGTACCAAAGACTTCTCACTGATTCTACAGGAAAAGACCTTAAGTCAAATGCTTGGGTTTAACAAGCTTTTGGTGTCCGAAGACTAGTTGTAGTTTTTATGTAGAATACACCGTGGACTCAAAGTCGTTGGTCGTACCCTTGCCGTGTCTTGTTTATAGTGCTGTTACACTTCTAAACTTCTAATCGTATCTGTATGGCGCCCAAAGCGCAAGAGAAATTCGTAGTCGTTGTGGTGCCCAAAGCACAAGATAAACCCGTTTCCGTTAAGGCGCCCAAAGCGCAAGATAAACCCGTTCCGTTCCGTTGAGGCGCCCAAAGCGCAAGAGAAATCCGTTCCGTTTAAGTGTCCTTAACACAATCGAGTCCGTATAATAGCCGTTAAGCCAAATACAATTGAAGTCCTTTTGAAATACTGTTACAACAATAATTCCAATGAAACCTCAGAAACGAGTCCTGGTCTCTAGTATTCGAAAGTACTAGCCTGCAGCGCAAACGCTACACAGACGTATACTTCAAAGATATAGAGGGGGCCGGGGTCGCTTGAGATACCACCAGATACATGCGTGCTTTTATACTAAATATATAGATAAATGTAAAATGGAAAGGAGTCATAATAGTAATTGTCTGTGCTGCGGCGCAGTTGATGTAGAATTAATCGACTGCGGGCGCAGCTTCTAAGAATTAATTCCTGCTGCACAGCCGATGAAGAATTTATCGGCTGCATTGCAACAGAGAATGGAATTTATTGTGGTTTGCACAGCCTGCGAAGAATTTATCGTTGGCAGTGCAACCAATGGAATGGAATGCACGTTCCTAGAATGGAGTGTGCATTCTTGATGTAGAATTTATCGCAGGCAACACAGCCGATGTAGAATTTATCTGCTGCATTGCCCCCTGCAATGAAATGTACATCTTTTGATGGTCTGGGAAGGTCTAGATGAAGTCTAGACCCTCGTGCATAGCCAACGCGCAGCGTGCGCAATTGGACTGACCCAGAACGTGCCCAGAACACGTTTGGAACCCGTGGTTACAGTCACGGAACCAAACACGCAAGTAACGCGTACTTGGCCCGCGCCCTGTGAAAGTATCAAGCCCAGGTATTAGTTGACTTCTTCTGGGTGATGGCGCTGCGCCGTACTGCGCAAGTGCCGCACATAACTTCGCATGGCCGCGAAGTGTCTCTCCTGACTGGTTAAGTGTCCCACGGTTCGAACCGTAGGCCAGGCTGGCCTACTGCTCAACATCTGGCGCCTAACCAGCATAACACCTCCAGTGTACAATGCTACAGTTGTCTAATGGATGATCCTCCTTGCCCTGATAATACATTGGCCGTACCGCGCAGATCTGTGTTTGGGCGGGATCCCGTAGAATCATCATACGCCTTCCAGGGTAACACGCACTGCCGTGAATACTACCGAAGCTCTTGTACTGACTCCGCGGGGTACTATAAGCCTTGTTGGCCACTCTGGACAAGAGTGCCAACCTTGGATGAATATCCCTGCACTTGTTGAAAATGCGTGAATTGGGCCGTATGAGTAGATTTCTACCCATGCTCCATTTTGGACCCTATCATCTCCCCTATTCATAAATGTTGACTGTCCCCAGTCAATCCCTGCCTTTTTAGACTAGAAGTGTGAAGTTGCCTTCCCACTCCAGCTGCCACACCGCCACTGATCGGTGTTTGACTCGCTAATACGTCTGCTGTCAAACAGCCGTCGATCCTTCCACAAGTTAACTCCGGAAGGACTTGACGTGGTTCAAACATTTTTGGAACTTCAGAATTGAGTGTGCGTGCACGGACTGAGTGTCCTGCACCATGTGTTCCTGATCTCCTGACCACGTGATGTCTCAGGAACGCGCCATACGTGATATATGTCGCGTCCCACGGATCCAAATCCGCATTTGGAAATTTCTAATTAAGATTTCGTCTTTCGTCTCCAAACGAAATCTCCAAAGCCTGCACTGTTCATAGGTAATTTATAAGTCGCCCAGGCCAGTGCCGCTTAGCCGCCGAGAGCACGTGCCAACTGAATGGCGTGGGAGCGAGTGAAAATTTTCAATTCAATCGCTCTTTCCTTCATGCCCCCACCCCGCGAACATTCTCTGCCGCCCATCGCGACGTTCGCCGCCTCGGAGGCCTCGTCTCCAGCCCCCGAGGGCTCAACCTCGTCTCCCGACAACATCCCCAACGACCTCGCGCACTTACGCGCCCTCCGCCTCCGTCGATTCGCCCCCGCTGCGTCTGCCTCCGTGGCAGCGCCTTCCTCGACGTCTGCCTTTGTGGCTGCGTCTCTTCCTGCGCCTGCCTTAGTGGTAGCGCAACCCTCGACGTCTGCCTCAGTGGTAGCGTCCATTCCTGCGCCTGCCTCAGTGGTAGCGCAACCGCTCGTCATTTCCCATATCTCCGCTATCTTCCCATCTCCCACCGGTACGTTACTCACTTCTTTGACTCCGCGGCTCCTGATTTCTCTCGTTCAGGCGCCGTGCAGGAAGTAGCACCCCCGCGCCTGTTTATCCATCTCCCTGCCCGTCCGCGCGCCGCGGCGCCTCCTCCATCTCTTCCTTTGGTCCCATCGGCCCCAACCGTGGTCGCTACGCAGCCGTCTCCCGTCCCTGCCGTACCCGTTGCGCCCGCTACCTATACAACTTACGCTCCCGACTTTTTGGAGTACTCGACCGCTCCAGACGTCGTTCCACCCGGTCGTAACTTGTACCCTATCGAGCAGCGCAGACGATACGACGCTCTGTGGAGAGCGGGTAACTTTGACCAAGTCCCATACGGTTGGTGTCCGCAGGACGAGTGGACCGTATACCGGCTCGACTTCTGGCCGGTCCTGCACGATATTCGTACGGACGCCGTACCACGCCCGATGGCCAGGCCGGCCTCCGTTGTCCCATTCGTTTACGTGGACCTTTGGACACCTCCCCCGCTCATCGTGGAGCACGAACATGATGTTAGCTCAGAGCCGGCATCCCCAGGTCCGAGTTAATTTTTTTTGCTGCGCCCTCTTTTACTGACGACTCTTATATACATCTCTAGAAGATTTGTTGTTGCCGTCTGCTCCATATACTCTTTCTCTCGTGAACCGGTGGACTC